TTTTGATTTTAGATGGGCAAAGTGAAAAGAACAACCTAAAAATGGAAAAAAAAAAAAACACATTTTTTTTTGCCCTTTAACAACCATTAATACAAGACCCAAATAAGGCCTAAGAGAATTTCTAAGTTACCAAGGTTAGACAACTTGTAAAAATGTTAGATTCTCTAGTTGGAAGAGAGGAGTAGATCACTTTAATTCGATTCAATAGATTAGTTACAACGCCAATTTTGATCAAGTGTTTGTGTATAAATCATTAATATCAATAATTTGATTAATTAGATAATTATTATCACATAATTGCATAGTATATGTTTTTAAATAACTGGATGACAAGTTCAATTTTAAAAATAAATCATTATTTTTTAAAAAATAAATATGTATAATTATGAGATGAATTTAATTTAGGGTGGTCAGGCCATAAATCTAAATTTGAATTCTTTTTGTCTAAAAGTTCACCCGCAAAAATAGTATGTGCATAAAGATATGTTTATGCAAAATGACCAAACTGCTTATATATTTAGATCCATGTCTATCTATTCAAATTGAATGATCTGGTAATTTGTTGGCAGCTGTCTCTCTGTGTCTAATTTATTTCATAGTGAACTACATACAACAAATTTTCAAGTGTCTTTTTCAAGTTTTTCAAACTATTCGTAGACTTTCCGTCCACCAAACTTAACAACCTTATTTATTGGACTAAAATGACATAATTTGTTAAATAAAGTTGCAAAATCAAGCAAATTGAAAAAACATGAACGAAATTGACACATCGTGTAAACTACAAGGACTATTTACATAATTTACCCAAAATTTATTGCCCACGGTTCTTATTTTTCAAAATCTCAAATTTATTATTTTTAGTCTAGGGCCAAAAACTTTAAGCCGTTATTATGTCACTGATGATCACTCTTTTCTTGTACACCGTTGATAGGGGGTTCTGAATCTGCCAAGGAGAGAATAGAAGCCATTGATGTGGATAACAAGTCAGTTACTTTCAACCTACTTGAGGGAGATGTCTTGAAGGTTTACAAGACCTTTAAGTCCACACTCCAAGTTGCAAACATGGATGATGGATGTTTGATAAAAGTGACTTTGGCTTATGAGAAGCAACATGAGGACACTTCACCTCCAACCATGTACCTGGACTTTGTGGCTAATATCAGTAAGGATATAGAGGCTTACCTCTTCAAGACCTAAGACAAAGCCGCTGAGGATTCTGTTTCTTAAAAACTTTGTTCTCTTGTCTTAACTAATTTGCAGTCGTTTAGTTTGATCATGCCTGAAGATTCTTATATCTCAAGATTCTCACAAGATCTGAAGAGTGTGAGTGAATTAAGACTGAGAAGTAGAAAATTTGTGAAATAGAGAATCCCCAACCAAACAAAGGGCATATAAATATATATGCGATGGAAGCATTGGTTAACTAGTAAATGTATAATAAAGTTTGTGAAGCCATTATGGTGACTATTTGCTCAGCTTGTCTGATAAATAATATGCAGTTTTGAAATCTGTAATGCTCCATGCACTGGTTTTTGAATGCTAAAAGTGTAGCCAAACTTTTTGGGCTAAAATACAACTTGTCAATGTGCCAAATATTCTGTTAATTTCATCCCTAAGTATTAATTGTGTATTAAAGTGTTTTTTATAGTCAACACTGTATTCATTATTAGAATGAGGGATTTTTTCAACAAAAAATAATCATTAGAAAGCAATAGATAGCTATACGTTCAGTATTTTAAGATGGCGTTTGGTACCGTTTACGACTGTGTTTGGTAAAGTTCTCAAATCATAATTCTAACCATCCATTTGCACACTCCGTTTGGATGCAGTTTTGAAAATGTGATTTCACTACACATTTCAAAATATATTTGTCTTCCACGTTTGGCATATCTTTCTTTCGTCTTCTCCATTCTGAAAAGCAGGAGAGTTTTTGAATTTTGTGCCTACTTGGTCATCCTCCCAGATGTCCCCCCGGACGGTCGTCCGACTAGTTGATCGAAACAATGTTTTTTTTTTTTTTTTTGACCGAAACAATATATATATATTTTTTTGTGTGCAATTACCAATCGCCACCTGTTATTTGGGGGAAAAAAAAAATTTTGTTTTTGATATTTTTTAAATATAGAATTAATTTTTTTACACCAAAATGACAAATTATTTTTTTGAATTGAATGTTAAAAAGAGTTTGGTTATGAGTTTTGAATAGAATTTGCAATAGAGTTTTGAGTTGTTCGTTTGGTTATGAGTAATAACTTTTTGAATTAGTTTCTGAAAATCATAACTAAACAAATTTTCTCAATTCATGTGTCACATCAAAAATTCAAAACTGAATTCAAAAATCTTTTCAAAACTCATAACCAAACAATTTTTTTTTATTCAAATCATAATTTCAAAACTCACAAACTTAAAATACAACTCTACTATCAAATTATAATTCTAAACTCTATTAAACATAACCTAAGTTTTTTTTTTTTTTTTTTTATGTTCATAAAAAAATTATAAACTAATTTTTTTTATTTATTTTTAGAAAAACAAAAATTGCAAAAACGTTTGGTTTGAACAAAATGTTCAAAAAAAAATTAAAATAAAAACTCAAAAACATGTTTGTTAGTTTTAATGCATAAAATGTTTATTTTATTTTTTAATTATTTATTACAATGAGTAATTTCATTTCTATATTGATTAACTACAGATTGCAATTGTCTGGTTTTCTCTGCTCGATTCCTACATGAAGCTTCCAATGCTGATATATCATTCTTAAGTTCACCCATCTCTCTCTCTCTCTGCATTTCAACAATTTCATTCTCAGTTCAGACTTTTGCCTCCTCGATCTCAATTTTCTTTCGAACTATTTCATCAATTTTTCGCTTCTGATCATCTAAATCTATCAAAGTCTGGTTCAAATCTTCCTTGATCAAACCCTTTTCGTCAATCAAGCTGTCAAAGCTCCTTTCATTCTCCTTCATTTCTTTCACTAAAACATCAATCTTCTCCACTGTCTTCTTTTCCGTCTCCACACTTTCCAGGTACTTCTCCAAATCGGCTACATAGCTCGCAACCTCTGTTCCCCTTCCTGCAGACTCAATGAGTGCAGCCAACACGATTCCCAACTTCTTTTTCTTTATCATTTCCAAACTTTTCTCCTTCTCAATCCCTTTCTTCTCGCTAACTCACTACAGGAAAATGAGGATTTAACGGCGTTTAATTAACGATGTTTAGTTAAACGTCACTTTTTTTGATAATTAACGGCATTTTTTAAACGTCGCCTTTTTTGTTAGGTAAAACGACACCATTTTGTAAATAGAAGACGTTTAAAAAACGCCTCCAAACCCTGTCTCTCTTCACACCATCTTCTATCTCTCTTTTATTTTGAAAACCCTATTTTGAGCACTGCCGTCTCCTTCTCACTCACTCAAATCTCTCACTCACTCTTTGCTCTCTCTCTCATTCAAATCTCTCTCGATTCTACTTCGATTTTTCTTCAGTTTGGTGATTCATCTCGGGATTGCGATTTTGAAGTTCGATTTTGAGCATAGATCGGTGATTCATCTCCGTGGATTTGGAGCTCTTAGTCTTCTTCGATCAGAGGTTAGTTGCTCTCTCTTTCTCTCACTCAAATCTCTCTCGATTCTTCTTCAGTTCAGTGATTGTTCTTCGATTCTTCTTCAGTTTAGTGATTGATATAGTGTGTTATCGTAGATTTGGGCACAATGAGATGGATGCGCCGTCTTTCACACAGCCACATATGTACAAGGTTAGCCTTATTATATATTTAGTTTTCTAGACCTTACCGCTCTTGTTAGAATTGGGGTTGCAAGCTTAATTTTTGTTAGTTTCGGATTTGTTTCTAGTTATGACACTACATCTATTATTAACATCTATTTGAATTTAGTGAGTAATTTTTTTTATATTTGTGATGTGGAATGGGTGCTGATAGGTCATCCGGAATCACCCCTCAACACTTGAGATTTATGGAAAAAAACTTTTAGAATCTGGTGAGCTGATGAAGGAAGACTATCACCCTTTGAATCTGTGTGATGTGTCTGTGCATCCTCTATAATTGCTTTTTGTCACTCAAAAGTTAAGTTATTTTATGATGTTCTGGCAGTCCTGAAGTCAAGACTAATTTTACATTCTGTGTCTCCTCGTATTATGTTAAATTGCCAAAGATGAGTTCTCTTCGATTGCTAAATCCACAGCGCATTGTTTGAAAGAGATAGTCATGATGCATTGTCCATCAGCAGAAGCTTTGTGCACTAAGCGCGACCTTTTTATCTTTTTTATTTTTATAAACATGATGTGTAAAGGGAATGTTCAAATCTTTGGGAGCATGTGATACTGTTTTTGCTGAGAACATGGTTGTGCCCCTGTTTTTTCTGAGAACTTGATGCTGCATGCATTTTGTTGGATTGAACTGCATACATATATTGTTACATTGGGGTGTGCGCTTTTTCTTTCTTTTGCTTTTTTAGTTGGGACAAGGCTGAGCTTAGTTTACATTTTTTTTGTTTTGTTTTTTTCTTTCCTTTTTTGGTTGACCTTAAGTTGAAGTTCAATTGCTTTCATTACATAACAGGGAATGATGAAGATAGAAAGGGAGCAAGTATTGTCATTGTTCCGGAAAATTATGATAAAAATCTACAAGCATTTATATGATGTTCTAACCAAAAATTTTGTCTCAAGTTTCCCTCAAGAAAGGGAGGTAAGCAAGTATTAATTTATGGTATTATGAAATCCCAATGCTTTGATTAAAACCAACTATGGTGTGCCTCTTAAAGTTTGTGAGATGTGACTTTAAAAAACTGCTTTTTACATTGTCTTATGGGAGCTTCATGTAATTTTTACACGCTTGTAGAAGCTTTCTTTCTGCTAGGTTGGTTCATCACTATTTCACATACTCTTTCTTTGGATTTTACAATTAGGTTTCATTGATGCCTCATAGCATATCAGTGGATGATGATTAGTTCAAATCATTCTTGTTGAAATTTTCTCATTTGACTTATCAGGAGAAGAAACTGATGGACAATATTCGCCAATATCAAGTTCCACCGCAGAAGTACATGGCCATGATGGACCTTGAGGTGCCTCTTTAGTCTACATCAATCCCTAGTTGTGAATTTGAAGCTGATTGGTGCATATGTGTTGTGTGCTTAGATGCTGCTTGGATATGAATTGATTTTGTTTTAATTAGCATCTGGAGGAGCATTTACTCTCATACTTATGCTAATTTTGATATTTCAGTTACCCTTCAATCTTCATTTCCCATATCATTGTAATCTCTCTTGTTCTGTTCTTTTCCCAATAGCTTTTTTTAAACTTTTTTTATACCCCTTTTCAGTGTGTGTTACAAACCGCTTTTTTAAAATTTCTACTTGAAAGAAAGGATTCTTGCTTTAAGATACTAGAGAAAACAAAAGCATGTAATTGCATTTAATGTAGCCTTTGAAAGTAATAAAAATGGATGTGGGAGATGGGAAATTTCTGTCCTTGTTGTTTATTTTATTTTATTTATTTTAAATCTTTTGTTCTTTCTAATTGCTTTGGTTTACAGGAGAGGAATGAAAGGCTATTTTACAAGCTTCTTATTGATAATGTTGAGGAACTTCTTCCTGTTGTCTACACTCCAACTGTTGGCGAGGCTTGCCAGAAGTATGGGAGCATTTTTGAGTGCCCTCAGGGTCTTTATATTAGCTTGAAAGAGAAGTATGACTTTCTTTCAGCTGTCCATGTTTCCTTTTTCACACCTCACGTTAGCAGAATCCTCATGCACTAGGTCATTTTTGTAAGTAGTATGTTACTTTTGTAGAGGAAAGATTCTCGAGGTATTGAAAAACTGGCCTAAAAAGAACATTCAAGTTATTGTCATGACTGATGGTGAGCGAATTTTGGGACTTCGGGATCTTGGCTGCCAGGTGAATGTTCATTTTCCATTTTGTTTTAGTACATAGATAATTACCTTCCAAATGCATAATTATTTTTTTTGTTCATCAGCCAAATGCATAATTAATTGTAAAAACCAAAAGGTAGAGTATTTACATGACAGTTTTTTCAGTGGTTCCTTGTTCGCATTAGTTATGGTACTAATCTAATACATATTTATCTTCTTCCTACGTATTAATTGGAATGTGTTTCTGTCTATTAATAGGCAGGCATTTAATTCAGATGGCTTGTTGTGGCAAACGCCTGTTAAAATGCATTTGTAGCTAATAACAAGCTTAATTTTTATTAGGGGATGGGGATACCTGTTAGAAAACTGGCTCTGTATACAGCACTTGGCGGAGTTAGACCTTCTTCGGTAAGTGTCACCAGCTAATCATATACAGTTGTAGATGCTTATTTTAGTATATCTTATTTGAAACCTTTACTTCAGTACCGATGAAACTACGTTAATATGTGTGTTTAATTTTCAGTACTGTGTCAAGAAGTAAATGCCATGCTTTAGTTGTCAGCTTGACATTATAATATTGATTGGTTTTAGCGCTATCCTCTCCTTTTTACCATTTTAGTAACGATCTGTTTACTTGCCTGTGCAGTGCTTGCCCGTAACCATTGATGTGGGGACAAACAATGAGCAGTTGTTGAAAGATGAATTCTACATTGGGCTCAGACAAAGGAGGGCAACTGGGAAGGTCCAATAGTTTTAGCATTTTATTGTGTTTAGTTACAAGCATTAAGATGCATTATGTAATTTTCTTTAATACTGAGGCAGTTTTGTCAAATTGTATTCCAGGAATATTATGACCTTCTTCATGAATTCATGACTGCTGTCAAGCACAACTATGGTGAAAAAGTACTCATACAGGTGGATTTGCATCCTTAATTTTGAAAAATTTCAGGGCCTGATCTTGTTCTTGCAGTTCTAATGTTGGTTTGATTTGCTACCAATGCTTTACAGTTTGAAGATTTTGCAAACCACAATGCTTTTGAGCTGCTAGCGAAATATAGTACTACTCATCTTGTCTTCAATGATGATATACAGGTATGTGATAATATGGTCGTCGTTCAAATAACCTTGAGGAATCCCATGTTCTTGTCTTAACTTTTTTCTTCCCCACTTTTGCAGGGGACAGCAGCTGTGGTTCTTGCAGGGCTTGTTGCGGCACTGAAGTTACTTGGTGGATCCTTGGCCAAGCAGACATTTTTATTCCTTGGTGCTGGGGAAGTGAGACTCTAATCTGTCTTCCTTCTTTTACACTATAAACCTATTTTCCTCTAGGGGCCACTGGACAGAATTCCATCTCTTTACTCAAAAATGTCTCTCACTTCTAGTTTCTTCCAGTTGTTTTCAGCACTCCTGATTCTGTTGCATCTCCTTGTTCTATTATGATGCAAATATTATGCACTGTTCTGTGTTGTTAGGCCTATTGCAAAATCGATGGAGTTCAAACAGATGTTCTCATAAGTGGAATTGCTACTCAGAATAGAGCTGTAAGTCTGGGGTTGCTTTTTCTAGTGATGTTCTAAATGAAGTGTTGTTGACTTCAATTGTCTGCGTACTTTTTGTACATTGTGCATTTAATGGATATAAAGTGATAGGAAGTTAACTCACTAATCTTGATTTGTTTGCTTTCTGTTCCTTCATCAGCTGTATACTGTTAATCATTGGCAGTCCCATTTTTTCTTTAATTCATTGCTGGATTTCGGTATGCTTTTATATTCAAGTACATTTATGGTTATTTGCATGCTTAAATTTTGTAGTTCCATCAACTTGTTTTGCTTACATCTATGTGACTCGCTAACCGATTCCTTGTGTATGCCTTTTTCTTTATATCCAATTTGATGATCAGAAAGTAGTTACCATATTCAGGGAAGCAAGAATAGAATTATGTTGATTGGATGCACTTTAAACTATGTCAAGGTTGATGGAAAAATAGTTGTCCATGTACATTAATGTTTTTTAAGAGGCAATTTTTTCCACCCTTTCAAGTTTTATCATTGCTAGAGCTGTAGGGATTATAAGTGTGGAGTCCCATGTTAGCCCTCCGAGTGGTTGAAGCTGCTATTAGGATTGTGAGTGTGGGAAGTGGTTCTTCTTGCATTATTTGACTATTTGGGACAATAATCCTTTATATACTGGGTATGGTCTTTGTATTGAAAAACATTTGTTGAGAAGGTCATTCTTAGGACAGATAAGGTTGACAGTCGGCCTCAAGGATTTAGGGAAGAAGCTTTTCTTTATATAGCCTTCTATAGCTTGAAGCCATAGTTCAATTTTAAACTGTTTGGTAAAGATCATGGGGAGGACTGAGTGGGTGTTGGTAATGGAAAAAGGGTTTTTCATCTATTCGTAGACTTTCCGTCCACCAAACTTAACAACCTTATTTATTGGACTAAAATGACATAATTTGTTAAATAAAGTTGCAAAATCAAGCAAATTGAAAAAACATGAACGAAATTGACACATCGTGTAAACTACAAGGACTATTTACATAATTTACCCAAAATTTATTGCCCACGGTTCTTATTTTTCAAAATCTCAAATTTATTATTTTTAGTCTAGGGCCAAAAACTTTAAGCCGTTATTATGTCACTGATGATCACTCTTTTCTTGTACACCGTTGATAGGGGGTTCTGAATCTGCCAAGGAGAGAATAGAAGCCATTGATGTGGATAACAAGTCAGTTACTTTCAACCTACTTGAGGGAGATGTCTTGAAGGTTTACAAGACCTTTAAGTCCACACTCCAAGTTACAAACATGGATGATGGATGTTTGATAAAAGTGACTTTGGCTTATGAGAAGCAACATGAGGATACTCCACCTCCAACCATGTACCTGGACTTTGTGGCTAATGTCAGTAAGGATATAGAGGCTTACCTCTTCAAGGCCTAAGACAAAGCCACTGAGGATTCTGTTTCTTAAAAACTTTGTTCTCTTGTCTTAACTAATTTGCAGTCGTTTAATTTGATCATGTTTGAAGATTCTTATATCTCAAGATTCTCACAAGATCTGAAGAGTGTGAGTGAATTAAGACTGAGAAGTAGAAAATTTGTGAAATAGAGAATCACCAACCAAACAAAGGGCATATAAATATATATGCTATGGAAGTATTGGTTAACTAGTAAATGTATAATAAAGTTTGTGAAGCCGTTGTGGTGACTATTTGCTCATCTTGTCTGATAAATAATATGCAGTTTTGAAATCTGTAATGCTCCATGCACTGGTTTTTGAATGCTAAAAGTGTAGCCAAACTTTTTGGGCCAAAATACAACTTGTCAATGTGCCAAATATTCTATTAATTTCATCCCTAAGTATTAATTGTGTATTAAAGTGTTTTTTATAGTCAACACTGTATTCATTATTAGAATGAGGGATTTTTTTCAACAAAAAATAATCATTAGAAAGCAACAGATAACTATACTTTTGGTATTTTAAGATGGCGTTTGGTACCGTTTACGACTGTGTTTGGTGAAGCTCTCATATCATAATTCTAACCATCCATTTGCACACACCGTTTGGATGCAGTTTTGAAAATGTGATTTCACCACACATTTCAAAATATATTTCTCTTCCACGTTTGGCATATCTTTCTTTCGTTTTCACCATTCTGAAAAGCAGGAAAGTTTTTGAATTTTGTACCTACTTGGTCATCCTCCTGGATGCGGCCCCGGACGTTCGGCCGGTCGTCCGGCCAGTTGACCGAAACAATATATATATATTTTTTTGTGTGCAATTACCAATCGCCACCTGTTATTTGGGGGAAAAAAAAAATTTTGTTTTTGATATTTTTTAAATATAGAATTAATTTTTTTACACCAAAATGACAAATTATTTTTTTGAATTGAATGTTAAAAAGAGTTTGGTTATGAGTTTAAGGTTGAGATGTCGTGCTCTGTGTTATTCAAAGCGGACCTCAACCTGCTACACTTGAGGGCAGCATTTCACGAGCATATCGGTGATGTTATGGGTGCCTTGCGAGACTATCGAGTTGCTGTCTCTGTTGACCCAAACCACGAGATGCTGGAACTTCACAGCAGTCAAGAGCCATGAACCCCCAAAACACAAAATAGAATAAATAAAAAAATGGGTTTTTTTTTTTATTTAAAATTTTAAATATTGTGTCACCATTGTATATTTTGTGAGCATGTGCAATGTAATGTCCATGTTTATCTTCTTTATAATTTTTTGGTAATCAATATCATGGACTGTCCTCACCACTGTTTCCTTCATACTTTTCCAAATGGCATGGATTCATCAAGAATCAACACTTAAAACTACGGTAGAGTGAGTGTTAATTTATTTAGGAATGGATCAGCTACTGCATGGATTTAACTTATTGGATTTTTTTCTTGAAGGATGTTGTATTGGGTACTATTATAGATGTGAGGGAATAATAATCTCACAGAAATATGTCTGTACAAAGTTTTATTCATTATTGCTATTTTACAGGTATATTTTTAAAGTTAAATCTTACAAAATTAGTAGTTTAAAAAAATAAAGGAAAAAAAAAATCTATTGCGGCGTTTTTCAAAACGTCACTATAGTTATATTTTTAAAATAATAAAAAAGCTATTACAACGTTTTTGAAGCGTCGCTGAATGCCTGTGTGACGTCATGTTACCGTTGGCTGCGACATTTAGCAGCGTTTATAAAAACGCCGCCTATACTAATTTTATGACGTTTTTAAAGCGTCATAAACTTATAGCGACGGCCGCGTCCTCGACGTTTGGTGGTAAGCGTCACTAAAGGAATTAGCGGCGTTTTTCATACATATAGCAACGCCGCTAAAAGTCATTTTTCCAGCAGTGACTACTTCCTCAATTTCAGTTGATAGATAGATATGTTGTATCTATTGTTTAAACAACAAAAATCAGGAAAAATTTGTTTCCCCTCTCAATGAAGCACCAACAGAGGGGAGAGAGAGAGAGAGAGAGAGATACCTGGGTTGCTGTTGATGATGGAGAGAGCGAGAGAGGAAAGACTGGATCCAAAGAAAGAGCTTATTTTTTATCATTGACGAATAGTTGTGGACCCTATGCCTTTTTCGAGTATAAGACACATTTCTACTCATGTTGTGCTGACTTGCTAATCCCACATCGAAATAGTCACCATTTAATTTTATCAAAAATTAAAAAAATTTTAACAATGAAACTAAGTTAAGAATCTGATCCATCATAACTAGAGATTGCCGGTTTAGAAGTTAATATACAAAAGGGGAAGGTAATTGATTTGAGCTGAAATGCTACATTTTGAGGCTCTCTATCTTATATTTTTAGTCTTTTAACTTATGATATTTGTGTTGGCTACATATTTTGTACAGGCCAATCGCAGTTTAACACGTGGCAAGATGAGGGCAATACGGGAAGTTAATTCAAATCTCCAATCGTAATCATACATGTGGCAGTTAGCATTAGTTATTGTGGATCTGCATAGCACTGAATCAGGGAAGAGATGCAAGATGATGTGCCCTAACGGTTACTCATACATTTAAATTCAAAATCAGGAGGAAAGTCTAACTGTAAAGAGTGGCATAGTGGAACTAACTATGAGGTAGCATGTTCGGTAATCATGGGAGGACTGTTTGACGGTTGGAAGCCCACTTCGACGGTTACTATAAGACAGTATAAATAGCAGAGAAGGCTCCAGAGTAAAGCATCCAGACTCAGATCAAAAAATCAGTTTTATCTACATTATTTTTCCTTTCCAGTTTTTAAAGTTCTTTACATTTTTGTACTTCAAATTCCCGTATTGCACTTCATTCATAGGAGTAGTTTCAAATAGTTTGTTGCTATAAACCTCTATGTGGCTGGGTCAGATTATTGTAAGTCTTTCATTTTACTTAATGAAATTCTGTAATTATTCTTCACTTAATTGTTGTTTACTAAATGCTTCTAAACAAGCCACCAGTAAAAGTCTTCTTCATTGAGGCTGAAAAAACTAAAACACAATCGTCTGATAATTGGTTGGCAATTAATTTTCTGTAAGACTGATTGATCGTTGCTGGCACGCTTAAAATTACAATACTAACCTTCAAAAGCCAAAAAAGCCAACACATATTTTTTGGCACGCCCGGTGGGATTAATTGAAGTGGCTAGACGTAGGAGACAAGGAGAAAATGAATGCCTGGAAGAAGTAGAGGAGGGAGAGATAGAAATACTAATTCAGAGGATAATGTGATAACACATCCCATGGAAGTACATGTCTTATCCGAACCTATGGTCGAACAGAGCAACACTTCGGAGCATGTACCACATGTTCAAAATATTGGATGAGGCCATGGAATTGGACCATCGACTGTTCCATTTACCCAGCCAATGAATCTATGGGGAGGCTTGGTAGATGCCATGGGATAGCAATTAATGAACACAATGGAAAGATGGGCAACATCCTTTATGGATCGAATGAATTCCCATCAACCAACCAACACAAGGTATATAGAGGAAAATTCAAATGTTTCTCAGTAAAGATTGGCAAGAGATAAACAGCCTATGCAAAGTAATGGACAGACTAGTAATCCAAATTATGAAAGACTATCACCTGTACCTCAGTCATGGTATGAGCCTCTTTTGAGGCCTGTGGTAAATCAAAATGTCCCATTACCTAACAGCAAAGCCATACAAATTGGTGGATTTGGGCCAACATAAGAAAATGGCATGAGAATGTTTCCAAATCCCATGTTCAAAGCCATACCTGGCACAAGAGGGTTCGCTAATCCTCTGTTCGAATTCACACCCGGGGGGTTGAAAGGGTTTCCTACATCTAGGAGAGAAACAATACATGTTCCTCCTATTGCAACACCTTTCGCAGAACAGGTTCAAAGGGGTCAACCATACCCTCAACAGCAGCAAGTACCACAGGGACATCCAGTCCCAAATATGCCCCCCTATGGACCAAGAGGACATCAAGCACATGGGATTCCACCAAACCCTGTGTTTGTTCCTCCAGTGGTAGTCTAATAACCACAAAATATGGTTCTTACAGACCAAATTATTGATATTGTCAGAGACATGTGTGGACTTATGGCTCAGGGGGTTCAACCTCCTGTGTATAGGAATCCATATCCAAAATGGGCGGATAGGGTGAATGAATAGCGAAGAGGGTTTAGAATACCAGACTTTGCTCTCTTTTATGAGAATGGAAACCAGTCAACAGTAGAACACATTGCTAGGTTTGCAGCCCAATGTGGTGAATTTACTAATAATGATTACATGAAGTTAAGACTTTTTCCAAATTCTCTAACTGGTGCAGCTTTTGTATGGTATATTAACCTTACACCTGGCTGCATCCAAACTTGGCAGCAAATGGAGGAGGCATTGCATGCCCAATTCTTCCAAACAGAGCCAGAGGTCTCCGTGGCAGACTTGGTAAGGTTGAGTCAAAGGCTTGATGAAAAGGCTGCTCAATTTATTGCCATATTTAAAAAAACATGAAACAAGTGTAGGGTCATTCTACCAGAGCCTAAATTTGTGAGATTGGCTCAAAATGGTCTAGAGTTTAGGTTTCGAAAGAAGTTCAACTCAATTGAGTTTCGAGACTTAGTAGAATTAACCTATGAAGTGTCTATATATGAATCATTACTTGAGGAAGAACAAGATCGAAGTAATGCATCATACAAGGCTTATTATAGAGACCCTAACTACGAGATTGATGCAATAGAGATCATAGGGAAAAAGCATGTAGAGCCTATGGCCTGTGAGACATTAAAGGATACTACAATTGACCAACAGTTTAAAAAGAAAGACCTTCATATGAAATATTCTTTTGATTTAACAAAGGCAAATGACATTTTTGATCATTTGCTTGCTGTAAATTTCCTAAAGTTACCAAAGCGAGCTAAAATTCCTTTCCCAGAAAAACTTAAAGGAAAAATGTATTGTAAATGGCACAATTCTTGGTCTTATTCAGCTAAAAACTGTATTATTTTTAGGGATGAGATCCAAGAACAGATTCGAAAAGGGAGTTTGAAGTTCCCCACTAAAACAGAAAAGGCTATGGGCATCGACACTAACCCATTCCCAGAGATTGGCAAAGTTGCAGCCAATATTGGAATGCCTGACTTCCAAAACCTATCTTTGAAAGAATTGGAGGAGGTAAATGTGTAGATGCATGTTGCCAACCAAACTACTGTCAAAAAAGATATTAGAAGTTCACCAGCGAATGGACAGAACTTTGCGGATCAAAAGGAAGACTCTAGTGAAGATGCACTGGAT